GATTCCATGGTGGATAACATGTGTAAGTGTTCTAGATCTCTTTCTGTTCGTGAGACGGCCCTCAAGGTTCTAACCAGATGGTACTATACCCCATCAAAGCTACATGTATTGTTCCCACAAACATCCCCTTTGTTTTTCCCGGGGCTGTGGCCTCACAGGTACATTGGTTCATATATTTGGGATTGCCCGACCATATCTTTGATTTGGCGCAAGATATCTGAGGTGGCTACCTCACTGGTGAGTATCCTGGTACGATTGTCTATACAGACCTGCTTACTGGGGGCTCATATCCCAGGGGTCTCTGATGCCACTATGAGACTGATACATACTATTCGTATTGCCACTTTATGGGCTATTGCCTTACATTGGAAGTCCAATGCTGTACCATTGGCCTCCGTTTTACACAGGGTTGATGCCGTGATGCTCATGGAACGTATTCATTATACCTTACTGGATGGGATGCACTTATTTGATAAAAAATGGGAATCATGGAGGGATTATAGACATTTATTGCATGATTAACAACATTTCAAGTGAAGATTGACTGGCATATACTGTTGATAGATGTATCATTCAACCTACTTTATTGTCTACATATTTCATGTACTTGCAATCTATTCTTTTCTATTTCTTCTTTATGTTAATATACTTTTCTGTAGTGTATTTTTCAAAAGTGCCTTGTTTTTACTGTAAGTATCATTTGAAAATGTACTGTTGTTTTACAGTCTACTTTTGCAAAATAAAACCGTTTGTAAACACACAAAAAAAAATTATTCTTCATAAATTTTAGCCAAAATGTTTTCTGCTACATGTCTTTGATAAAAAATCCCAATAAATGTATATTGATTGGTTTGCATGAAAATTATAATGTATATGGATACACATTGGAATTTTCTTTTCTTTTTTTTTTATACTGCTAATAGCTATGATCAGCAACTTATAATGGGACTGTGATAATGCGGCAAGCAATCTGACACTAACTGACACTGAGGGGAACTGACTTACTGTCACTGACATCTCCAGAGGCATTAATACAGTGCTGTATTCAAAATATATATAAAAATTAAAATAATTGTATATTGATTGGTTTGCATGAAAGTTATAATGTATACATACTGTGGGATACACATTGGAATTTTCATGTATTTTTTTTTTTATGCTGCTTATGGCGGTGATCAGCCACTTATAATGGGACTGTAATAGTACGGCGGGCAATCTGACACTAACTGACACTGAGGGGAACTGACTTTCTGAAACTGACATCTCCAGAAGCATTAATACAGCGATGTATTCAAAATACATTCTGCTACATGTCTTTGATAAAAAATCCAAATAATTGTATATTGATTGGTTTGCCTGAAAGTTATAATGTATACATACTGTGGGATACATACTGGAATTTTCATGTATTTTTTTTTATGATGCTTATGGCGGTGATCAGCCATTTATAATGGGATTGTAATAGTACGGCGGGCAATCTGACACTAACTGACACTGATGGGGACTGACATACTGAAACTGACATCTCCAGAGGCATTAATACAATGACGTATTTAAAATATATTCTGCTACATGTCTTTGATAAAAAATTAAAATACATAATTATTTTTTTACCATTTTTTTTGAGAAAGATAAAACTTTATTTTGGTGGTATTTATTCACCACTGGGATTTTTATTTTTTTGCTATATAAATGAAAAACTCCCAACATTTTGAAAAAAAAAGTGTTTTTCTTATAACATTTTGCAAATAAATAATCTTTCATCATAAATCTTGGCCAAAATGTATTCAGTTATCTTTTTAGTAAAAAAAAAACCCCAACGTAATTTATAACCACAAATTATAATTTTTCAAAACATGTTTTTACATTTTTATTTATTTTTTTTTTTATTTTTTTTTATATATATATATATTTTTTATATTATTATTTATGTTTTTTTTTAACATACTGTCACCCTAGCAGTACAGTTTATTCACTGCCTGGATTTTAATTTTTTTTGCTATGTAAATGAAAATGTCCAAAAATTTTGAAAAAAAGTGTTTTTCTTATAAAAGTTTGCAAATAAATAATATTTCATCATAAATTTTGGACAAAATTTATTCCATTATATTTTTAGTAAAAAAAAAAATAAGCCAAATTAGTTTATAGCCAAAAATTATAATTTTTAAACATTTTTTTTACATTTTTATTTTTTTTTTTATTATTATTTATTTATTTATTTTTTTTACATATTGTCACCCTAGCAGTACTGTACTACTTTTAGGTTGGTGATGAAGATTTTTTTTTTACACTGATTGCTTTTACACCCATATAGGATGTAAAAGCAATCATTTCTCTTTCTCTCTGTCTGCATTCTTGCAGCCATTGAGAACTACTGAGTGAGCTGTGATTGGTCACAGGTTGTCACATCGTACAAGGCTGTTGTGAATAGCCCTGTACCATGTGACCTCTGTGATCATTCACAAATTTCACACATAGTAAGGAATGATGTCAGAAGTGACATCTTGCTTACTACTTTGCATGTGATCACTGATTGGCCTATCAGTGATCACATGAGCGGGACCTCGTACAGAGGTCCCTCTGACGATTGGTGTTTCACTGTGTCCGGAGGACACAGCGGGCACCAGATCACGGTGCTGTGCTCTCCCAGGGAGCGCGCACAAGCAGGGTGTGGGGAGGCCATTTATAAATGGCCACCTGACCCTGCAGTGCCACCGTCTGGCCGTTTTTATATACAACGGACGGTCGGGAAGTAATTAATGAAAGTTGCAGGTTTTAAAAGACTGAAAGCAAGTTTTTATATTATGCTAACATGATAAAGCTTACACTAGATTTTATTAATTGGGTTTAGATCTACACTGCTCAAAAAAAAAAATAAATGAACACTTTTTAATCCTAGTCTAGCATCAAGTTAATGAAACTCCTGGGATAATGATCTGGTCAGGTAAGTAGCAGAGGAGGATGTTAATCAGTTTCAGCTGCTTTGGTGTTAATGAAATTAACAACAGGTGCGCTAGATGGGCAACAATGAAATGACCCCCAAAACAGGAATGGTTTCACAAGTGGAGGCCACTGACATTTTTTTCCCTACTCATCTTTTCTTTTTTTCACTAGTTTTGCATTTGGCTAGGGTCAGTGTCACTACTGGTAGCATGAGGTCATAGCTGGACCCTACAGAGGTTGCACAGGAGGTCCACCTCCTCCAGGATGGCACATCAATACATGCCATTGCCAGAAGGTTTGCTGGAGCATGGAGGAGATTCCAGGAGGCAGGCAATTTCTGTAGGAGAGCTGGACAGGGCTGTAGAACATCCTTCAACCATCAGCAGAACCAGTATCCTTTGTGCAAGGAGGAACAGGTTGAGCACCGCCAGAGCCCCACAAAATGACCTCCAGCAGGCCACTGGTGTGAATGTCTCTGACCAAACAATCAAAAACAGACTTCATGAAGGTGGCCTGAGGGCCTGACGTCCTCTAGTGGGCCCTGTGCTCAATGCCCGGCATCATAGAGCTTGTGATGTGACAGACGTGAAAGGGTCTGGAGAAGCCGTGGAGAATGTTATGCTGCCTGTAACATCATTCAGCATGACCGTTTTGGTGGTGGGTCAGTGATGGTCTGGGGAGGCATATCCATGGAGGGACGCACAGACCTCTACAGGCTAGACAATGGCACACTGACTGCCATTAGGTATCGGCATGAGATCCTTGGACCCATTGTCAGACCCTACGCTGGTGCAGTGGGTCCTGGGTTCCTCTTGGTGCATGGCAATGCCCAGCCTCATGTGGCGAAAGTATGCAGGCAGTTCCTGGAGGATGGAGGAATTGATGCCATTGAATGGCCCCCATGCTTGCCTGACCTAAATTCAATAGAGCACCTCTTGGATATCATGTTTTGGTCAATCCGACACCGCCAGGTTGCACCTCAGACTGTCCAGGAGCTCAGTGATGCTCTGGTCCAGTTCTGGGAGGAAATCCCCCAGGACACCATCTGTCGTCTCATTAGGAGCATGCCCCGACGTTGTCAGGCATGCATACACACATGTGGAGGCCATACAAACTACTGAGGACCATTTTGAGTTGCTGCATTTAAATTTCAGCAAAATGGACTCGCCTGCTGCATCATTTTTTCACTTTGATTTTCGGGGTGTCTTTGAATTCAGTCCTCTGTAGGTTGATACTTTTCATTTCCATCAAACGATGGGGCATCCTGACGTTATCCAGTCTATATCAGTATAGATATCCAGCATGATATTTTTCCCCATTGAGATCTGATGTGTTTTCAAAGTGTTCCTTTCATTTTTTTTGAGCGGTGTATTTTATCTTGGGGGTGTGGGGCAAAAATGATTGAAAAAAAAAAGTCCAACCCATCTAATCATTTTTATTTTTCAACAAGGCATACGCAGCACTGTTGCATGCTTCCCCACCTCAGGTGTTCCCTAATCTTGTGGAAAATAGAAACTCATTTATTGTCTATTGGTATCTTAGGAGAACAAAGCTAATTATCTCACCTGTCAATCTGTGAAAAGAACTGACTAGTGGCCTTGACTGTCCAGAATGGAGCATCAGTGCTCTGACCTCCTGTGTATATGGATGAATACATCAGGTTTAGAAGTGGTTGCGTCAAACTGTGAGCGCTATTTTAACCTTTAGTGATGATAAATGATAGGAATGAATAGTAAATGTATAGGAGCCTTGGTAGAATAATGTTTACTGGCCATTGTACAGAGAACAAAAAAAATGTTCTTTATTGGAGTGAGCTTTGTGGAAACAGTTATTGCAATTGTCGCTGGCTTATAAAATAAAACTATTGTTGTTAAACTGAACTCCAGGCAGACATATTAAAGACAACAAGTATAAATACCTACATTTGACTTGATTTCAGCATTTGATTAGCTTTTTACAGCAGCACCCATACTGGATAAGGGAGGGACAGCATTTGGGGACAATCAGATACCCTTCATTTAAACTTGCGGAGAGGAGGAGAGAGCAGAGAGATGACTTCACCAGTCAACAGACTGCTCACTCTCTATCAGGAATGGACTTGCCAATAATGGTGGGACTCACCTGCCTTGTGGGCTGCAGTACCAGGGCTGGCCAGCGGGTGCTCTCAGCAATCAGAGACTCAACCCTGCAGTCAGCCAAAACACCTGAGGCTGATTGCAGGTGTATTTAAGGGATGGCCAGACCTGCAGTCTGTGCCTTGGTGTGTTTTTTTCCATGGGCCCCTGTATCTTGTTACCAGCATTCCTGTTCCTGTTCCTGTTCGACTGATTTGTTGCTGACCCTGCCTGATCCGGACCTCTGCTGACTTCTCCTGTTTAATCCCTGGCTTGTGACCCTGACCATTCTCTGCCTGACCCCCTGTACCTACCTGCCCGTTAGTTGCTGTACCCGGCTCGTGACCTGACTACTCTCTGCCTGCTCCTCCTGTTCCTACCTGCCCAATTGTTATTGACCCGGCCTGCCTGACTACGCTTGCATTGTATGTATTGTTATCTGTGGGTGGTTTGGTTCGTTTGCACTGTGTTATGTTTTAGTATTGCACTGCGTTTATGTATTGTTAGTATTAATAAATGATATTGTTTATAACATATCTGAAGCCTGCGTTTCCCTGCGTCAGTTCACATACCTCTGGTCATACCCGGAGCCCTGACACTCTCCAATCACAATTTGGGGCAGGGAGGTGACCTAATTGTATGTCTTCCCTCAGTAGAGACAAGTGAGGTCTGTAGAGTGGTGGGACTGTGAACAGGGCTTTGAAATTCTCAGGGTAGATGACAATAGAAATTCTTTGGCATGTAATCAGCTACCATATACACTATATTGCCAAAAGTATTGGTCGGCCTGCCTTTACACGCCCATGAACTTTAATGGCATCCCAGTCTTAGTCTGTAGGGTTCAATATAGAGTTAGACTACCCTTTGCAGCTATTACAGCTTCAACTCTTCTGGGAAGGCCGTCCACAAGGTTTAGGAGGGTGTCTATGGGAAGGTTTGACCATTCTTCCAGAAGTACATTTGTGAGGTCAGGCACTGATGTCAGACGAGAAGGCCTGGCTCGCAGTCTCCGCTCTTATTCATCCCAAAAGTGTTGTATCGGGTTGAGGTGAGGACTCTTGTGCACGGTCATGTTGGAACAGGAAGGGGCCATCCTCAAACTGTTCCCACAAAGTTGGGAGCATGAAATTGTCCAAAATGTCTTGGTATACTGACTCCTTAGGAGTTCCCTTTACTAGAACTAAGGGACCAAACCCAACCCCTGAAAAAAATACCCCACACCATAATCCCCCTCCACCAAACTTTAGACTTGGCACAATGCAGTCAGGAGACCACTGTTATCCTTGCAACCACCAGACACATCCATTGGATTTCCAGACAGAGAATCATAATTCGTCACTCTAGAGAATACAATTCCACTGCTCTAGAGTCCAGTGGTGGTGTGATTTACACCACTGTATCTGACACTGCATTGCACTTGGTGATGTAAGACTTGGATGTAGCTGCTTGGCCATGGAATCCCATTCCATGAAGCTCTCTACATACTGTTGTTGTGCTAATCTGAAGGCCACACAAAGTTTGGAGGTCTTTGGCTATTGACTCTGCAGACAGTTGGCAACTTCTGTGCACTGTGTCATTTTCCATGCCTACCACTTCATGGCTGAGTAGCTGTTCCCAATTGCTTCCACTTTGTTATAATACCACTAACAGTTGAGCATGGAATATTTAGTAGCCAGGAAATGTCACGGATGGACTTATTGCACAGGTGGCAATCTATCACGGTACCACATTTGATTTCACTGAGCTCCTGAGAACGACCCATTCTTTCAAAAATGTCTGTAGAAGTAGTCTGCATGTCTAGGGGCTTGATTTTATACACCTGTGGTTTCCTTCCACACTCTAAATCCTGTATAATAATAATAATAATAATATATAAATCCTGTATAATAATATAATAATAATAATAATATATAAATCCTGTATATATAATAATAATAATAATAATAATAATAATAATAATATATAAATCCTGTATAATAATAATAATAATAATATATAAATCCTGTATAATAATAATAATAATAATAATAATAAATATAAATCCTGTATAATATATAAATCCTGTATAATAACAAATAATAATAATATATAAATCCTGTATAATATATAAATCCTGTATAATAATAATAATAATAATATATAAATCCTGTATTATAATAATAAAAATAATAATAATAATAATTCTCAGTCCGCTCTGGTCCAGTCACCTGATCCCCCGTGTAAGCCAGCGCTGGCTACAGGAGAGAGGAGAGAATTCTAGACAACAGCTGCTATTCTTGGGATCAGTGAAATCACCCATAGACTTCCCACGGCCCAAATGTTGTGGAAGTTTCCTCCTCTCCCCTGCAGCCCCTGTCTGACCCTGGCTGACGCAGGGGAGCCGGATCATAAGATCAGACTGAAGTGGCCTAAAAATAGGTAAGTATAAGTATATAAATCCTACATTCATGTATTAGTCATTATAGGTGTTAGAATTGGTTGGGGGGCACATTTTTAGGACTACTTAGGTGGTTCTTCCTTAAATTGGGTTGAATATCACTTTACAGGTATCCTGTAAAAGTATGGCTGAAGAAGGGGAAAGCTTCCCCAAAACACATTCTGAGCAACAGCATCTGTAGATAAGCACAGCTAGGAGCAGCATTCCCCCTCATACACGTCTGTTGTGAGATGTAAGGCTGGGAGTGGGATTTGTGCGCCAGGTAGGGTGGTTGTGTGCAGGGCCCATTTCAATAATATATCGAATATATAGCAATCTTTTGAAAGTAAAATGCAACATTTTTTTAATTCTCCCCACAAATGCATCCAAAACGAAAGGAACATGTATGGTGTGCTTGTATCCAGTACACACACTCTGGTGCAAGGACTGTGATCCCTGCCTGACACCTATGCTGGTGGGCCACGAGTAGCTGATCCAAGATGTAGAAAACTGCTGCTTCTGCCTGGCAAGGACCCAATCATTTATTTCCAGCTTTAAAGACCTTTTCAGCTTCTGCACTTAAATGTCCTATACCAGGACAGAGCACTCAGATACAGAGACATGCAAGGGAGGGGCTTATTCACCTGTGAGAAAATAGTCTGCAGCACTATGCCTTCCTAGCCAGTAGGGGAAATGTGAGCTTTCCCTCAGCTCGCTTGGTAATTCACATGTTAGGAGAACACAGCTCAATAACTGGTATTTCAGCACCATGGACAGCACCCCACAAATGGAAGAGCACCTTCAGCACGTTGAAGAGAACGCCCCACTGATTGAAGAGCAACTTCAGCACTCTGGAGAGTGCCTCACTGATGGGGGAGCACCTTCAGCACCCTGGAGAGCACCCCTCTGATGGAGAAGCACCTTCAGAACATTGGAGAGCTCCCCACCAATGAAGGAGCACCTTTAGTATCCTAGAGAGCAACCCAAGGACGTAGGAGTACCTTCAACACCCTGGAGAGCACCCCACAGATTGTGGAACACCTTCAGCACCCTGGAGAGCAACCCTCTGATGGAGGAACACCTGCAGCACCCTGCAGAGCGTCCCACAGATGTTGGAGCACCTGCAGCACCCTGGAGAGCGCCCCACCAATGAAGGAGCACCTTTAGCATCCTAGAGAGCAACCCAAAGGCGTAGGAGCACCTTCAACACTCTGGAGAGCACCCCACAGATGGTGGAACACCTTCAGCACCCTGGAGAGCAACCCTCTGATGGAGGAACACCTGCAGCACCCTGCAGAGCGCCCCACAGATGTTGGAGCACCTGCAGCACCCTGGAGAGCGCCCCACCAATGAAGGAGCACCTTTAGCATCCTAGAGAGCAACCCAAAGGCGTAGGAGCACCTTCAACACCCTGGAGAGCACCCATCTGATGGAGGAGGGCCTTCAGTACCTTGGAGAGTGCCCCACCAATTGAGGAGCACCCTCAGCACTCTGGCAAGCACCCCACCAATGGAAGAGCACCTTCAGCACTGGAGAGCAACCCAATGGTGGAGGAGCATGTTCAGCACCTTGGAGAGTTCCCCTTTAGTGGAGGAGCACCTTTAAGATGCAACCCAATAGTGTAGGAACATCTTCATTACCCTGGAGAGTACCCCTCTAATGGATGAGCACCTTCAGGACCCTTCAGCACCCTGGAGAGCATCCCACTGATGGAGGAGCACCTTTAGTACTGGAGAGCAACCTAATGGTGGAGGAGCATCTTCAGTACATTGAAGAGCACCCCACCAATTGAGGAGCACCTTCAGCACCTTGGAGAGAGCCCCACTGATGGAGGAGCACCTTCAGCACCCTGGAGAGCACCCCTCTGATGGAGGAGCAACTTCAGGACCCTTTAGAGCAACTCAACAAATGGTGGAGGAGCACATTCAGAACCCTGAAAAGCACCTCACAGATGGAGGAGCACCTTCAACACTGGAGAGCAACCCAATGGTAGAGGAGCATCTTCAGTACATTGAAGAGCACCCCCACAAATTGAGGAGCACCTTCAGCACCCAGGAGAGCGCCCCCACCAATGGAGGCGCACCTTTAGCATCCTGGAGACCATGCCAATGGCAAAGGAGATCCTTCAGCACCCTGGAGAGCACCCATCTGGTGGAGGAACACCTGCAGGACCCTTCAGAGCACCCCACCAATTGAGGAGCACCTTCAGCACCTTGGAGAGAGCCCCACTGATGGAGGAGCACCTTCAGCACCCTGGAGAGCACCCCTTTGATGGAGGAGCAACTTCAGGACCCTTTAGAGCAACTCAACAAATGGTGGAGGAGCACCTTCAGCACCCTGGATAGCAACCCACAGATGGTGGACCACCTTCAGCACCCTGGAGAGCACCCCACCGATGGAGGAGCACTTGCAGCACCCTGGAGATCACCCCACCGATGGAGCAGCACCTTCAGCACCCTGGAGAGCGCCCCGCCGATGGAGGAGCACCTTCAGCACGTGGACTCAGCAAGCACCATGGACAGGGCATGGTCGGCTCCTTTTTTCAGCACCCCGGACAGCGCCCCGCCAGCAGGTGAACGCCTTCGGTTTCAGCACCGCGGACAGCAGCCTCCGGCGGAGGGACACCTTCAGCACCACGAATAGCAGCTTGCGGAGGGACACCGCACCAGTCCAGCAACAAACGCATGATTGACGTCTCATTTCATCCAATGGAAGAGGGGCGAGTCCCAGTGCGGAGGGATCCCCCCTGTAAGCCCGCCCCCTAGGAGGAGCCAGGTAGGCTGGTGCAGCGCGGTTTTATAGAGAGCGGTCAGTAGCGGCTGAGTTCAGTCTCCGGCAGGCGGAGGGAGAGAAGTGATCGGTGGCTGCGGCGTGCTGTGGATTGTTCTGTTTCTCCCCGGCTCTGTCTATGAGGCTCCGCTCCCGGGCTCTACCAGGCTCCAGGATCTCTCTCGGTTGCTCTGCTACTGCTTCTCCCCGGACTCTTCTTCCTCTCCTTCTCCTCCT